GTATAAGTTTTCTAGAGTAAAGCTTATTTTCATTTTATTGCTTATCAAATAAGATTTTTTAATATTGAATAGTGTGAGTAAACAAATTCAGGAAGTCAAATATTGAATTTTTTTTTCTTATTATGAAAGTGTTATAAATAGAATAAGACAACTTCATGAATGTTTTATAATATTATTTTAAATTCTACACTTTTTCTGCTTTCTTGTAGACTAAATGAATATCTTTTTTAATCAAAAGTGCTTTCAAGTAAGGTTTTTCTTCTCCTGATAATGGGTTGAAAGGTCTAACAGTATTTTGGATTAAGAATGAGAATTGTTTGATCTCCAAGAAAGCAAAAAGGATAGATATTAACTTGTTTGGAAATGCAAAGTTTTAAATTATTGCTTAATTTATGCATCAATTTTTAAAAAATGTAATCAATAATTACCAAAAACTGTTATTATTGAGCACACCAGACTTAGCATTCTGAAAAACTGAAAATTAGTTATAACTAATTGTTGATTCTTCTTTTAGTTTTTGATGCACTTGCAAATTTAGAATTTTTAATACAAATTTTATTTCTATTCTAATTAACAACTTTATTTATTTATGTTCTTTTACTAATTTTTAAACATTCATTAACTATATTATATGTTCTTTTTAACTAGCTAATTAACATAATTCAGTGTTTTTCAACCTTCTTGAATACGCGACCCCTTTACAAGTTAAAAAATTCTGGCGACCCCCTAGGGCCATATTAAAACTATATCAGTGATTTTAAAAACTATGTATTTAATTTTTTTTTCTGTTGAGACAAATTATTGTGGATTAAAATGAAAATTTTGGAAGAATCAACAATAACTTAACACACATAAAGTATGAAACTTCCTTTAATTATAACATTGGGCACAGGGAGCTGTTGACCTTTTATTTTATTTTTTTTTTAGGATCAGAATTTTCAGCTTCTACTTTTCTACTTTATATTTCTTTTTGCAAATCAGCTCAACACTTTTTCAGCTATCATTTTCTGGAGTGGGCCGTAATTCTCGCTGAAATTGTAGTTTTTTTAATGTAGTGTAGGCCCTACAAACACTTGTCTTTTTCTTCTACCCGCGACCCCCATGTAAGGCTTTGCGACCCCCAGGTTGAAAAACACTGACATAATTAATCTAGTTTGTTTTTGTTTCAATAATTTTGAATTTAAAATAATTTGATGTTCTTGGTTAAATTACCAAATATTTTTTATTTTATTCCAATATCTAAAGATGCCTGAAGGCAGTTTACTTCATGCTTTCCTCTATTATGGAAATAAGAATTAAGTCACTCCATGAAATAATTTCATAGTTATGTTTCTTACTTACTTACTATACTTATTTAAGAATTTGGATATAATAAACAATAATTTATCATAAATATTACCAATAAAATAATAATAAATGGTTGTAAGAATTATTTTTTTCAAATTTAATACATAAAAATAACAGAATATATTGCTGTATATTGTAATCATATTCATATAAATAATTTCAGATTTTACTTTTCTCCTGATGAAATATGATGAAAAATTCAAGGTTATAATAAAGTTAAATATTAACTTCTGTCTTCTCTATTTTGTTTTCAACTATAATCTTTAAAACATTGTTAATTTTGTTTCAATTCTATCATACAGTTAGGTTATATAAGGTATGAATTACAACTAAATTTATTAGTGTTATAAGATTACAAGAGAAACTAATTGCAAAATTATTTATATATGTTAACATAATAAATATCTTCAGAAAATTAATATCAGTTCAGAGTTGTTATCATTATAAAACTTTTTGCAAAAATTCAATAACCTAGTATTGTGTTAGGCTAACAAACCCAAAATTGCTTCATTTCACACCTAACAATATTCAATAGAAAGCAATATCAATCCAGCAGACAAAACAAAATAAAAAAGTGGCATGAAATTAAATACACTTGAAAAAAATCTTGTTCTCAAACCTAAAATACCTAAATTAGCATTAAAATTGTAATTTTAATTGAATTAATAAGGAATGGATTATTTATTGTTAATTACCAGTTGGAGATAATGATTTACAGAATAAAATTAAAGTTTAATACAATTAATAAAATGAATTATAAACAAGCAACAGAGGCAAGTTTCTTAAATATTTGGAGATTGCAAAAGATTTTAGAAAATTGTATTAATTTAATGCATGCAAATTTGAATCTATCTACATTCAAATATATATATATACATATTCATGTAATTAATCAGTATCATTTTGCATCTATAATAAAATTAATGTGATAAAATATTTTAATATTTCTACAAGAAGCAATTGAATGATATCATCTTTAACTAATGATTAAGTGAAGCTCATATGACAAAATTCAAATTCTGTAACCATTTTCCATTAACTATTCATATAATACATAGAATACACTTACAATAAAATAGAAGAAAATAGAATTGTACACTTAACATAAACATTACTAAACACATAATTAAACAGAATATTTAAAGTCAAATAAGTATAAAGTTTATTTCATGAATTTTTGTCAATGCTTTTATGTATAATTCTTTGTTATCAATTTGCTTCTAACATCATTATAAATATTTCTATTACTATTTTGTAATTTTTAATAAATAGAATGTAATATATCTATAAATTTAAGTAAGAAGGATCAAGATAATAGCAATGAAATAAAAATACTATTTATTCTATCAGAATAACATAATTTGTATATTAGTTACTCAAGTCAAAAGTAAAGTCATTTTAAGTAAAATTTGTAAAGGTAATTTTATTTTTATTTAAATTAGTATGGCTTAGCTGCTTATATTTTTACTTTATCCTCTCTTCAATTTAAATTCTATAATGCACAAAACCTTCTATCAGTTTACATTGTAACTATAAAAAAAATTTGTAACTTTATCCTAATTGAAACATTTTCACTGATAAATTTCTCCAAATATTTAATATTCTTCTTAAAATTTTTATTATCCCATTTATCACTTGAAATTTTTTAAGTGAATTTGTCTTTTATAATGTAGTCTAATTCTATATAGATTAAGATAAAAATGTAAGCTTACAAATTATCATTTATAGTGCAACTCCATTGTTAAGAATCTCTTTCTATTCTCCATTTATCTCTAACAGCAATTACTTATTTAAATCTTACATAATGCAATTTCATCAAAATTCTCATTCGCACAAAAATGTCTAAGTTTTATATCTTTCAAACAAATCTTATTTATTCTACACTAAAAAGATTTAAAGATTACATCCTTTCAGTCATATAAAAACAGATTCTTTCATGTTTCTTAAACTGTAAAATCCATTTAACTCTTATCTTCCTAATAAACTGCTGCAATATTAGCACCATGTATCTCCATTTGTAAAATTACCAATTTCCTTCCAGTTTATTTTTATTAACAGGTGTCTTGGTAGGACAACAGCCTTCCAAAATTTAATTTTCTTGCATTCAAACAAAGTTATCTCTTAGAATATTTTCAACTTTTAAATTTTTATTTACTATATCTTATTTTGATTTCTAATGTCTTATTTGATATTTCAAATTTATGATTTCTATTTTATGAGTTCTAATTTGGTTATTCAGTTAAACACCAATTGTGTGAATACTTTTTGAAATGTTCTGATACATATGAATTTTTTTCCTGAAATATATTAAATTAATTATATCATTTTTAATTTATGATTTCCATAGAAGTATTGCTTATATGCAATTTTAAAAATGAATGAGTGATGTTAAAATTGCAGAAACTTATGAAGTTAATAGTTAGAGGAATACTGCAGTCTAAGAAACTTGAATGACTAAAAGAATGTAATCTTTTGATCTTTCTAGTGTAGAATAAATAAGAATTGTTAAAAACATGTAAAATTTTTAAACAATTTGAATGAATAATGGTTTTAATGAAATTACATACAAGTTAAGTAATTAAGCTAAGGTAACAATAGAGTGATTCTTAAAAATTGAACTGTACTATGAATAATCATCACATAATTATAAAAAATTGTAATTTTAATTATATTTATTGTATTATTAACCATAATAAGAATTTATTTATTACACTTGAACTTTTTCTATTAACAAATTCTAGCTATAGCAACAACATATTTGCCAATATTGATAATCACATTACAAATGTTATAGCCATTATCCTGTTATAATGTTACTAGCATTTTCAACAGAAAGATTCAATGAAAATAGTTATAATAGTTACAAATTATCATTATTAACTCTTAATATTTTAGTTTAATATTTATTTCTCATTATTCCTGATAAGATACATCCATAAAAAATAAAAAAAGCATTTTATAAACTCTTGTTAATTACATTAAATGCAATGAAAGAAAATAATTTTAAATATAAAATATATTACTGAATAAAGTCAAAAGTTTTGTGCAAATTAAAAATAAAGAAAATTTATAACAAAAATGAATTGAATTAACTACAATGTTCATATTAAGATTTTTCAAACAATACTAACAATAAAAATATATCAAAAACTATAAATTCTTAATCTGTATAGACTATCTTCAATCCTGTTTAAACAGATAATAGATTAAATTTATCAAAAATTTTTCAAAAATGAGAATACTTAAAAATAATTTGAAAAGAAGAATCAATAGAAATGTTTGAATATAGATGGCTAATTTAACTAGTTATTTTATAGAGTAATTTTGGTTAACAAAAGTAATAAACACACACTTTTGAAAAACAAGATTTCATAATTTCTAACAGTGGGAATTAAATACTTTAATATCATAAAGGAATTTAAAATATTAAAACATTTAAAATTATCAGATGCACTTTTATCTATGATCAGAATAAGACAGAAATATTTACAAGATTTTTACTACATCAAATTACATATATATTTTGTACTTGAAAACTGAACTGTTTTTTTAAAAAGTTAATACAAATATTCATCAAACATCTTTAAAAATGCAAAATGACATATATAAAACAAAAATTTATTCTTATAAATTTTTAATAAGAAAGCAATTTTGTAAAATATTTAAATAATATATGATAATCCGTGTGAATATTATACAAATTAAAATAATTCACATCAATAACTCTAGAAAATCAATGTAATGTATTACAGAACATTTAACTAAAGTTATTTCACAGAAGAAAATTCAATTATTTTTTAGTTTATAAATATTTTTGCCTGTTATAGTATAATTACATTATATGAATATCATTTGTAATATATCTGTCATAATGCTATAAGTAAATTAAAAACACTACATTAATTTTAGTCACAAGTCATTCTTATAAAACAATATTAAAAACCATGTCTACACTCTTCAAACAAAATAAAAAAAGGTATAACAATTCTTACAACATATCTGGGAAGAATATATATACATTACTCTCTTATAACTTTAATAATAAATACACATTTTAATATGGTAACACCATCCTTAAAAGGAAAAGAGAATTTTGAAGTTTCTGATTGTTCAGAAAATATAAAATCGGTCCAAGGGTATACTATAAAAGAAAAATAATTAAAATAAATTTTATTTAATTGTATGTTAATGCAAATAATTATTATTAAAAATATAAATAATTTCATTTAAAAAAAATTACCTTAAATTACATTAATTTAGATTAAATTCATTTGAATATCTTCCAGGACTTCAAGTTCTGAATATTTTGAAATGCTTTTAGGGTTATATTTTCATTGTTTTTTACAACTATATAGCCTGGAGCCAGAAACAAAATTAATGTTACAAATAAACTAAAGAAATGATGCTTAAAATTTGCTACCACAACTTAATTAAATATACTGTACAATAAATAAACAAAAACAAACATTAAAATTAATAGCTTTTAACAAATAAGCTTTCTAAATGGGACATTTCTTTACAGAAATTGTATAAGATTTTAGAAGATAAATGAAATGTTTTATCATTTTTAAATAGCTGTTTTAAAATGAAATTGAGACTTCAAAAAATTATTTTAAAAATATTACTTGTGAAAGTTATTAACTTTATTGGTTTGTTGTTAATTTATTGTAAGTTATATTAATTAAGTTGGTCTATACAACAATTCGAGCATCATTGTAACAAACTTTATTTCTTGATTTTTATGATTATGTATAATGAATATTTTAATGATGAAAAACACTTAATAAACATTTAGAATTTGGAACTTTTAGCAGAAAGCCTTAAATGTTTTTAATTTTGTACTTATAAAATAGTCAGATGTTGTCAATAGTCAATAATTAGAGACAAATGTAATTATACAATACAGTATATAATATACATACAGCAAGTCCTCACTTAATATTGAAGAATTTATTGTTCATGTTAAGTAAAACAATGTGTAACAAAATCAATAAATTTTGAACTAACTGGAGAGATAGATCACAAAAACTCTCATCTTTAAAGTCCAGCAATTAGTTTAATACCTCTGTTAAAGGTGAATTTCATTGTTCCATTATGTTTACTGTTTTTTGTCATAGGTTTGTCATCTTCAAGGACAAAAAACAGCAAACATAGTAGAACCATGAAATTCACCTTTAACAGAAGTATAACTAACATTATGAAAGAAATCGCAGAACATAAAGAGTCTAATATGATTATAAAAAGAATCCCAACTATGTATTGAATTTTAAGAAATGATAAGAATAGATTAGAAACAGAAGAAATGGCAAGTGTGTACAGTACAGGTTACTATATGAAAACATGCAGTTGGGAATAGACAAGGATTACATAGGTGTCGCCATAAGGAACTTAAAAATTAAACTTAAAGAACACCAATATAATGTAAAAAGGGATGCAATAATACGGTATTCTCCAGGATGGTGCAGACTGAAGGCTCAGTGATAAAATGGGAAGAGGCAAACATCATAAAGTCGGTACACTCCCCTACATTGGCACAGAAAGCTAAAAAATTGAAATATACAAAAGCAGGTTGAAGGATAAGTGCATTAATGCAAGAGATGCTGACAACTTAGCAATGGCATAGAAATATATTGTACAGAATAAGTTTGTTAGAAGGTCATAATTGCCTCATTTCTACCATATATTTTTTTGTATAGTTTTCAGTTATTTATCTTACATTTTACTGTTATTCATTATTTATATTAATTTTTAGATTTTTGGCTTTATATTCAAATATTTAAACATAGTTATTCTTTTTTGTGTTCTATTTTGGAATGATATTTAATGGAAAAAATATGTTCCAAGAAAGATTGTTAGCCTGAAGATGGCTTATTAGACTAGGTTGAAAACATTCACTAAATAAAAGCAAATCCCAGCAGCCTAAAAGGTGTTTGTTAATTTATTTGAATTATCTTGCTGAGGTTAATAAAGATGAAAAAAAATTACTACAAAAAGATATTTTTCTGTTTGCTGGAAATTATTGTATGTAATTTCTTTATTCTCTATGGTAAAGTGGGGGTAAAAAAAGTTTTGCTAGAATTTATTTTGAGTTTGGTAGAATGAATTAATGAAAAATACAAGGGAATTTCTTCAAAAACAAGTCAACCAGGAAAGGCACTGCATCAACTCTGACAAAAAGACATTTCCCTGAAGCCATTCCACCAAATGAAAAAAAGAACAATCCCACAAAAGTGTATGAAGTATGTTCAAAGAAGCAAGATGCACAAGATAAACATGTAAGAAGAAAACCATGTTTAAACTGTTCACATTGTGAAGTTCCACTGTGCACACTACCATGATTCAAAATCTATCACATGCAAAAAAATTGTAATAATAGAAAATTGCTATACACATGAATGTTCCTAGCATATTTAGTAAGAACATTATAATATTTTTCAATTAAAAAAAAATCACTTTAATTGTGTTTCTGAATTTTTCTTGTACCCAAGTTAACTCAGGATAATAATTTACATCCATAACTACCTCGATTATCTACTTGATTTTTTGAAATAATTAGAAATTATTATTATTTCTTTCAAAATAGATCTAAAAGCAGTTATAAAAAAATTAGATCACTTTGATGCAGAAATACTTAGGTTTTTGTTAATGGAAGATACATAGTCATATGAATTTTAAATTTAGTTTTTTTACAGTTTTAATTATTTTATTAGCAATTAAATATTACACTTTCTAAATTTTTAATAATTTTTCTGAAAGACAGAAAAGAATATAATTAACATTATGACAGAAAATAAAGCATAATATCATTTTGAAAATTTGAATGTATATCAAACTGTATTTTTAAAATAAAAATTATACTACAGAATAACTTTTTATAAAAACCAACAAACTTCAGAATTTAAGTTAAGATATGTATAAAAATAAAAATTTAATTTATTATAAATAAGTTTCATGTTAAAATATTAAACTAATAAATGGAACATGTTAAATAAAATTATTTTATAAATGAAAAAAATATATATGTTTTCTCTTACCTGAAATAAATAACTTAGTGACCGATTTAAGATTGTTATTGTAAATTTAGTTTCATTTTCTTTCACTTCTAAGAAATCAAATTCTACTCGTGGTCTGAGGAAAATATCACTCTCAACAACAATACGTCTTTTGGAAGAATAATCGACTACTTTATAAACAACTGCATATTCACCTGGAAAGTTGCATTTGTATTTTATTTACATAATCATTTTAATAATTTAAAATATAATAAATATTAAAATTTAAAAATAATTTTAATCTATGAAAAGATTCACTTAACATTTTGAATAAATATTTTCTTTTAGAAATCTGTTAGATTATAAGCTTAATTTATTCCTTAAAATTTATTTGTATCATTGATACAAATAAATTTTAATTTTAATAAAAATTAATTTTAATTTTAATAAAAATTAAAATTAATTTCACATTTGCATGTTATAAATGTTAACTGACTGCAATTAAAAGAAAACTGACATCAATGTTCAAGAATGTTACTTTAAGATGACTAAAAATATCAGCAATTCTATTATGAATATTTTTTGTTTGCAGATTAAATTCAACAATCATTATGAAGTAAAGGTCAAGAGAACTGATGCTTTCATAACTTTTAACAAAGCTTTTTGCAGCTTTGTTAAGCTTCTTTTTATACTGCTTTTGTGCCAGTATAAAAAGAAAAGCTACAGACCATGAATACCTTATAGAAACCTATAAAGAAGGTAAGGAGTTCCTTAATATACTGTATTGTCAAAACCAAAAATTGCCAAATATAAGAATTTTTGCCTAATTTGGGTACTTTTGCATTTTATTAACTACAATATTTGCATTTATTTAATTATTTTTCTTCTAACATAAATTTAGAAATGTATTGTATCATTTTTCTTTTGTTGTTTTCTTTTTTTTTTTGCACAAAATACTATTATTATTTGAGATGTTTTAGACACACAATACTCCACAAATACCTTGTATTTTAAATAATTTTATCAGGAAGGAAATATATGCTGTTGAATGTTATATAACTAGCAAAAATGGACAAATAAAATTTTTGGTTCATGCAGTCCTGTAACATAAATTTAGAAATGTATTGTATCATTTTTTTTTTGTTGTTTTCTTTTTTTTTTTTGCACAAAATACTATTATTATTTGAGATGTTTTAGACACACAATACTCCACAAATACCTTGTATTTTAAATAATTTTATCAGGAAGGAAATATATGCTGTTGAATGTTATATAACTAGCAAAAATGGACAAATAAAAAAAATGAACTTCTTTATTTAACACTGTGCATTTACTATAATAATTCCTATGTCATGATTTACATTTTATCTTTAACTGACATTAAACTTTAGTTTTTCAAAATTAAATTGTGTTTTACATCTTATTAGATATAACAAACATTGTTTATAATAAACCAGACAATACTGTACAGTGGGTGATTGGTTAATTAACAGTTCAGTTAACAAACAAATCGGATAACAAACACTTTTACAAAAGATTTTTATGTTTTTATGACAACAAACACCTCACAGAACAAACACAATAAGAAGTGATGTAAAATAATGAATACTAATTGGTCTTCTCTTGTCTTCAAGCAACAATTTGGAACTTTTCGAAGCACAGGAGACATTGACATCAATGCTCAACCCAGTATATACTGATCAGATAGTATTCCTCCAAACTTTGAAACTCTCCCTTGTAATTCCAACCTTTTATTTTTCTGACAGAAACAATTCTTTTATAGTGTTCATGAGACTGTCAGGCAGGCACTAGTTAAGTTTTGCATCAATTTTTGTTTTTGAAAGGTGAGAGTATAATAGCAAAAGTAGAGAGTGGGCAGATGTCTGATGTTGCTGGGCAGGATGGCTTTAACAGGTCTACATTAAGCATCAGTTCAATCTTATCTAAGAAAGATACTGTATAATAAAGAAGACTCAAGCAGCTTAAGGAGTAACAAAAATCACATCTGAGAAATAAAGAACATTGAAGAGCTCATAATGGAACCTGAAACTGATCTGACGACAGAAAAACGCCAAGAACTCTTGAATGAAGAACACCAAGAAACTCGGTGAGATATGTTTTCTTTTGAAAAAGAGGATTAATGCCAATATCTGCTATTAAAGATCTTTTGAAGAAGTGGGAAGTTGTCAAAACAACAATCTTAGAATGGCATCCAAACCAGGTTGAGGTTAATAGACTTAGGGATCCCTACAATTACAATGCTATTAATTACTTAATAGCATTATAATTAATTATAGTAATTATTGATATTAATTAAACTAATTTATTATACACTGTTTTAATAAATTATACATGTTATGCTTCATTTGTTACAGGATTTAATTAAATTCAAATATTTTAATATTATAATAAAATATCCATTTTGAATTTTCATAAAAAATAGCATATAAATACTTCTGGAATAATTGCAAATGTCATAAAAGAAATTCTGTGGAAGAAAATCCTATGAAACATGAAACTTTTTCAAAAATTAAATAGTTTGGTATACCATATTTTATGGCATGGCATATAAGATGTGCATCTTGTTTTAAAAAAATTGCCCTACATCTTATATGTGAAGTTATGATCTTCCATAGGTTAATGAATTCCTCAAACAGCCTTCAGTAGGTTACAGGCAACTTTACCTAACCCAGCTCTTGAATAAAAATGCTATTGTTTAATTAAACAATAGCATTTTGGAGTGTTTTCTATGTGACATATATACTGGTGCCTAGAGTTATGCCAGATTAAAGTGAAGGCATAATTACAGAAAAAAAATATTATATTTAAGAATTTCCTGACTAAGTGACAAGTGTTTAGTATGGCAGCCTTTTGCAGAGTGATATATATGATGTTGTGAAGCCCTAATGTTTTGAGATTTATGTAGTGTATGTGGTATGACATCTGTGCAAGAAAGAACTATTGATACTGTACAATAAATAGATTATCTATTCTTCACAGATGACTTCTTTCATGAGTTCTGAGTATTTACTAATTTTTCTTATGTATGTACGAGGGTGGTTTTTTTCAAGTTCCAATGGTCCATAAAACAAAGAGAAATGTAAATAACAAAATTAATTTATTACCAAAAGTTAGGTACAAACATTAGTCTTCACACACTAAAAAGTTTTAAGCTGGGTGGAAGTCTGAAAGGTGGAAGTCTTCACCACGTTTAAAGGCCCAGCGTATAGCTCCGATTTAGCGCTGAGCAACTTCCACCTCTTTCCTGAACAGGAAAAGTGTCTAGGAGGGTAGAGGTTCGAGACTAATGACAATCTTCAAAACAACATTAGGATCCATCTCAAGTCATTGGCAGCAACATTCTTTGACAAGGAGATGGAAAAGCTCATCCACAGATATGACAAATGCCTCAATCTTCACAGTGATTATGTCAAAAAGTAAACTGTACCTAACTTTTGATAATAAATTCATTTTGTTATTTACACTTGTCTTTTTTTTATGGACCATCAGAGCTTGAAAAAAAGCAGCCTACATATTTTGCATGTTGTGAGTGTTTGGAACTGCTATGTCTATTATGTATACAAGTTTGTTTTGTTTGTCAATCAATGTGATGTCTGGTCTGTTGTAATGTATTTTTTGTCTGTGATTATGGCTAAATCATAGTATATTTTGAGTATGTTGCTTTCTATGATTGTTGGAGGTGTGTATTTATAGTATGATTCCTGGGTTTGTAACAATTTGTGTTTGTGTGCAAGTTTTTGATGTATTATATTTGCTATTTGGTTATGTTGATGTAAATAGTCGGTTCATGTTAAAAGCTTGCAACCAGCGTGATTTGTATAATCTTGTGTGTAATGTGGCATTTCCTACAAGTTTTGTCTGTGAATGTTGTCTTTTAAGAAATGCTTTCTGTAGATTCTTATATTTATGAACCTGAACTTGCATGGCAATCATGAACCCTTCTCTCTCTCCAAAGAGGCATCCATGAATCATCAGCACTTTGATGCAGTCTGTCAATGTAATCCTGGCTGAAATCATTAGGTTACCCATGATGGAGCTCCTTTGCCAAAGACAGCCTGAATTTTGAGTACCACATTAGTAATGTAAAAGTTTAACAGTTTACTGTTTTTGTGTTTACAGCGTTGTGTAATTGTGAAAAACCCTTGCAGTGTGCCGTTTGTTCTTCATTCTTTATGAAGAAGAATCAGTCTTTCTTTGGATGGCTTAGGGTGTTGTTTGTTGTGTTTGTTAATGTTGTTCTAGTTTTGTGTATGTTCAATGTATTACACCAAATGAATATGTCAGTACTGGATGTCGTGATGATATATGATATGCCATGTTGATGACTTTAAATGTGTGTTTTGCATTCAGTTGTGTTGTTAATAATAAATTTAATCTGCTGTTGTATTCTTTTGTTAGTCTTTGTTTTATTTGTGTGTGTTCTATGAGTTTGGTCAGTTGGAATCCTAAAAATATTCATAGTCTTTGCCTTCATCCATAGATTCAATGATATCTCCATTTCCAAGTACAAAATCACCTTTCTTCAGGATGACTTAAATTGAAAACAGGTTGAAAATGTTAGTGAAATAAAAAAATTTATGCTCAGCAAAATTTAGGTGGTTAGGCGAATTGATGTAGTTTCTTTAGGATTATTATTATTTGTTTTTTTCCCCTTAAACTGCTTTTGCACGTATTCATGTAGAATATTTTAATGGTAAATGACTTCTTTTAAGCTCCTGTTTTCTCTAATAAATAAGTGTGTACTCTAACTTTACTTTTTTTAAACCAGAATACAGTAAAAAGCTGGTCTGAGTACCAACAGCAAAGATGAGTTAAATACATTATATACTTTTCATAAATATTTTGTACAGAAATAGAGATGTGTTTTATATGCCATAAAATATGGTACATATACTTATTTAATCAATATAATATATAATTAATAATATTTATATATATAAACTAAATATCATCTTTTCAAANATAAACTTATCTTACCAGATTTAAGATTTTTTTTAATCTTAGTTCAATAAAACTAATCTAAAATTTATGAGTAAACCTAGGTTATACATTAATATAATCTATATGTAAAATTGACAGACTGCAGAAATTAGTTATGTAAACTTAAATTTGTTCTGCATAATCAAAATGGCCAAAGTTGATTTAATACAGGGGTTGGCAACCTTTTTTGTCTGTGGGTCAAAATCAACCATACTGTGTGTATTAAGACGACGTTTTGGGTCAGTGGTATTTTCATTTTAAAATAGTCTCACCAGTATTACCACACGTCTGTTAAGGAATTATGGATCGGCATTGCCAAATTTATTGATTTCTTCTTGAAATTATGTACAATTTTTATATTTTAAAAATAAAAATGCATATTCATTACTGCAACTTTGTAATCATACAAAAATGATAGTTATTATTTACATTCACTTTATTTTTTTTTTTATGTATTCTTCAAGTGTTTGTTTCATATTTATGTTTTATAATTTATTTTATATACTGTATTATATTTTATTTTCGGAACTCAAGTGGGTTACTTGAAATTATGAAATGGGTCACTTGGTGATCTGTGGGTCATAGGTTGCCGAGGCCTGAATATAAGGAGAATTCTTTCAACTCTTCTAATTCAGAGGACAAAACAATTTTATGTACTTTACCTAAGAAATTACAGTAAAATCTCAATTTAACAGACAAAATTTGATCCATATGTCATATGTGAATATTAACACACTGTAATTTTAAAATACTTTTTATATGTAATTAAATTAATGGGTTTTTTCCAAATCCAAAAGTCACCTTTATTAATTTTAGGCAAAAACAGGCATCTCAATTTATCATCATCATCATTGTCAATAAATAGGAATTTTTTTGTTTTTGTCAAGATTAAATTTTGTTTTCTTTTTAATAACATTTATTTAATTAAATACAATTAAAATGTATTTTCTAAAAAATGTTTATTTATTTTGAATTAGATTTTATACTTCTTTGTTATAGTTTCAGAACTACAGCAATAATACAACAATAATAAGCAATAATAATATAATATAAAATAAGCAATAATACATATAGAAAACTTTACTGTGAAATTAAACTTCTCAAACATACTTAATTAAATACACAAATGTATCTACATAAATAAAATCAGAAAAATTAACTAATTTGTCAATTTTTTAATGCACACATTTGGAACACCTACTTTATCATATAATGGATTTTCAGAAGCTTTAATAGACAGCCCCACTCAATTAAGTTAATTAAATTAAGTTTTTACTGTAATATGATACTTTGACATAATATTCAACTTGGTGATTACTACATGAACTAAACCTACATGATGTATTCATTATAATAATTAGCAGCAATAAAATTTATATTACAATTATATGGTATTATTATTGAACTATTACTTCCATAAAAATATTTAATACAGTGTGATAAATTACTTTTAAAAAATACAAATTTTATATTCATAACAATATGATCATTTTAGCATTTTCTCATGAAACTGATAAAAATCAGGAAAAAATCAATATAATCAAAATATACCTACCTTTCTCATATAATCAACTGTTGTAATAAAACTAAATGCATCATCTACTTTCGATTTCAATAGAATAGATTTAGAAGTGACCCATTTATTCTGCTTCACTTCTAACTGATAAAGTATTGCCATAACAGCTACTATCACAAGAAATGTAAACCTGTTTTTAGATTCCTAAATTATAAAATAAAAATTAAATTCATTATAAAATTTTAATTTCTGTATAAATTCCAAATCAACTATTTCATTAAAGTTGAAAAATTAAGTTTATCTTCTTAAAACTGACTAATTATAATAAAAGAACCAACCTTCTAACTAGCAGAAAATTATTTTTACTTGACTAGTACACTCAATCCATGTACAGATCATTGTAAAGTATCATCATTACATCATATTCACATTCATGTGTTTAATCTAGTTTAGTTATTAAGATAACCTAATGATAATCTTTATTTAGATTGAAAGTACTAATCAAGTAAAATAATTTTCTACTGGTTTAAAAGATGTAACTCTTATCATGTGGAAAATTATGATAACTCCAAAATCTTTTTGAATTAAAGAAAACTCATTTCCAAAGATTTAACATATTTTCATCAATTAAAATATATAGATCCAAACATAGTGCTATATCATAACAGAAACCATTTATCTTTATGGATCAATAATAAAAAATATCATCCTCAATAAAAATATGCTGAAAATGATTTTTAATTGAAATGATTAAAATGTTTATTGGTACATTTTAAGTAGAACTCAATTAAGAAGTTCCTATTTTAGACATTTTCCTATGCAAGGAGTTTAATTTCAAAAATCCCAATTTTTTCCTTTTAGAGATGTGTAAACTTTTTCCACATGAAATTTTTCTGTTTATAAAAATTTCCAACTTAAGTTGACAAATCCTTATACATGACTAGAAAATAGACCCACTTAAGAAGTTTTTCAACTGCAGCCTATTGAAAATTTTACACACTGCATAAAGGAAAAACTAATTACATTAGAAAAATGCATAACTTTTCATATGTCATTTCACTTGCAACTCTGGGCTAATTTGAATATAGATTTTGTAATTTTCTTACACAATTATCAGGTAACAACGCTTCAACAAACAGCAAATTCTGAAAAGTGCTGTCAATATGTAGGTTGGGTTCGGTTTGTTTGGTTTGATGGAATATAGCAATGCATTCATGGTAATACATCAAGGGGATTGCCTCTAGGGAGGACTTTCTGTACAAAACTTGCTTCTATTTAGGTGTTTGAAAACCAGGAAGACTATTTGGCCAGCCCATTGAAAAGGCTTGAGTCTTTGACCAACTATCTATGTTATGTGATTTTATTAATACATGGGTGATACTGTAATTCAAGGGTTCCCAACCTTTTTTCATGTATTGACCCTTTCAAGAATGTTTTTTTTTTTTTATTGTCCTCCTCATAAATTAATTAATATACAGTGGGTGATCAGTTAACGAACAGATCGGATAACGAACACTTTCGTGAAAGATTTTTATGTTCGGACAACGAACACATGATCGAATAATGAACACCCCACATAACAAACACAGAAGAAGCGACGTAAAATAATGAATACCAATTGGTCTTCCCTCATCTTCGGGCAACAATTCGAAACTTTTCGGAGTGTGGGAGACGTCGACATTGACGCTCAAGCTGGTATATACCGATCAGATAGTATTCTTCCAAACTTTGAAACTCTCCCTTGTAATTCCAACCTTTTATTTTCTGACAAAACAATTCTTTTATGTATTCACAAGACTATTGGGTAGGCACTCGTTAAGTTTTGCGTCTGTTTTTCTTTTCGAAAGGTGAGAGTATAAAGCAAAAGTAGAGAGTGGACAGAAGATGCTTAATTTGCTGGGCAGTATAGCGCAAACAGGTCTACAGTAGGCCGCAGTTCTACTGTATAATCAAGAAGACTCAAGCAGCTAAAGGAGTAACAAAAATCATATCTGAGAAATAAAAAACATCGAAGAGTTCATAATGGAACCTGAAACGGATCTGACAACAGAAGAATGCCAAGAAACTCTACAAGATACGTTTTCTTCTGAAAAAGAAGATTAATGCCGATTTCTGTTATTAAAGATCCTGTGAAGAAGTGGGATGATGTCAGAACAACAGTCTTAGAATGACATCCAAACCAGGTTGAGGCTTGGGGATATCTACAATTGCAATGCTATTAATTACTTACAAAAAATCCTGAAGAAGAGAAAAAAGCAATCAACATTAGACAGATTCTTTAACCCTTTCAAACAGAAAAAAACATGACTAATAAAAATGCAAGACTGTGTATGTATGTATTTTTATTATTACATATAAACAAACGTAGTAAGAAAGTATATATTTTTTTATTTTTGGGGGTTTCCAGAACGAATTAATTAAATTCCCATTAAAACCTACGATAAATTGATAATCGATTAACGAACAATTCAGATAGTGAACAAAGTCTTGGAACGAATTATGTTCGTTAACCGATCACCCACTGTATACTCTAATTTTTAATTCATTTTTTTGAATTTGTAAAATTTTGAAAATGATAGAAATAATTATAATTACTAAATAATTAAACAATATTAAAATATTATATATACATACACAATATGTATTTAATTTGCTCGTTGATCCCTAAACGGAGTTGGTATTGACCCTTTAGGGTCAATTCCAACTCCGTTTAGGGTCAATACCAACTCCGTTGGGAAACATTACCATAAGTCTTCAATGAATTTTAGTAAGGTATTTGTAGATCTGTGGTTTTGTTCATGGAAATCAAAAAAGTACAATTTTTTTTTTAAACATAACAAAACAGACGAAGCAGGTTACAATTGACATATATCCAAATAAATACACTGCTGGCCATCCAAAATGCAACACCAAGAAAGACAAGAGATATCACAGCCAAATTTATTTGGGAGATAACACGTTGTACAAAGATCAAATGATTGAAAATACAGTCTCTTGTGAAGTGAGGAAGATGATGGAATCAATATGGAGTGTTGCCGTCATTGCTGGCTATAACCGCTGCTACACACCTCGGCATTGACTCAAAGAGGCTTTGGATATGTTGTTGGGATATAGCATTCCATGCTGCTTCCACATATTGCCAAAGTTGATCTGGTGCAGCAGCGGGTGGTGTATCCCGGGCCAGCCGTTCTGCAATCATCAATCAGACATTTTCTATAGGTGAGAGATCGGAAGAACAAGGAGGCCAAGGCAGCAATGAAATCTGATGGGTGAAGAAGAAGTCTTGAGCAATGCGTGCCACATGTGGTTATGCATTATTCTGTTGGAATGTGGCCATTGGCAAGCTCTGAAGGTATGGAAGGACAACAGGCTCCAACACCACAGAGATATAGTGCTGACTGGTCAGTGTACCGGCAATGCGCACTAGGGGGGGCAGGAATGGAATCCAATACCACCCCAAACCATAATACCGGGTCTAGGACCAGTATGGCAATGAATAAGGCAACAGTTCAGCAGTCTCTCACCACGGTGTCTCCAGACTCTAATCCGACCATTGTGGTGTTGCAGGCAGAAGCGGGATTCGTCAGTAAAAACAATGTTGTTCCATTCGGTTGTCCATATCTGTCGTTCATTGCACCATTGCCGGCGCAAACGCCTGTGGTTTTGACTCAATGGTAAATGTGGCAATGGATGCCCTGCAGACATTCCACTCTGCTGCAAACGATATCTAATGGTACGTGCAGACACAGATTGTTGCGCAACAGACCGAATTTGTTGTGATATGGTTTATGATGTGGCGCAGCAATCCATCACTGCCATGCACACGATATGCCTGTCATCATGTGCAGTGGTGCAACGAGATGGGTGCAATCAGTCCTGTCAGTCCATTTGTTTCCTCCTGCATCCAGCGGTTACAGATCCACATCACAGTTGCTTGGTTACATCCAACATGATCGCTGATTTCTCTGAAGGATAATCCGCAATCTCTATAGGCAACTATTCTTCCTCGGCCAAACTCAGAAATGTGCTCGAAAGATGCTCGTTTTCTTCTGTGTGACATACTGAAGCATACTTACACCAAAAAAACGCATGAAAAAACAATTCCAGTACTTCAAAATGGTAGTCTATTCTCTCTTTATATAGCGCTTGCAGGTGGTGCAACAGGCACCCATGATGTGCATCTATGCTGAAATGCTAATCATTTGCATATCTCATTGCCACAAACGCATGGTGCAAATTTTACTTGATTTGGATGCTTCCTTCAGGGTGTTGCATTTTGGATGACCAGCAGTGTAGATACTATAAAAACATAATTCACTGTAATTTAACAAAACATTATTAAATAGATTATCAGCACAAAAAGGTTTTGTGCTGATAATCTTAGAAATAGTTCTAGCTACATATGCATTATTAAATAAATATGGATTATGTAAATAAAAGCTATTTATATTTTCATTTCTGCCTAAGATGTTTTTTTTTTAAATTGGCCCCTTGAAAAATGTCTTAACCAAGTTCTACTGTCTACATTGATTTTCTATAAAGAACATTTACAAGGCCTTTTGTTTGTTAGTTTGTAACATACTATTACAAACTAAGTTGACAAACCATTTTATAGACCCACTTAAGAATTTTACAGTTTACAGTTTATTACAGTTTATTATATATTTTGGATGATAATTTTGATCAATTTGATAATTCAAAAATGTTATTTTAAATATTATAAATAATAACTATAAAACTGTATACAATTAGGAATAATTTCGTTTGAAACACTGATCCTTAAAAAAATATTCTCAATTTAAAAAGACCTGAAATTTAATTTTATTATTAAATTCTCATTGATGGGTTTTATTTTTATCCAAATTCTTGAGATTTTCATAAATTTTAGTTCTACTACAGCAGTCAATTCTGCAGTTGATTAAAAGGAATTCTGAAGTCAACTTCTATAGAACATAAAACATACATGATTATAAATATTTGCACTAACTGAAAAGAGCAATTAATTTCATGTCCTACTTATTTCTTTAATAAATGAAAACTGTTATTCTTTCATAATGAAAAATTCATTAAGTAAACAAATTCTTATAAAATTTAACAAATATATATCAGGAATTTAATATTGAAGTTTGTAGTGTAAGAAGAAAAAATATTTCTTTCCAATTACATTTTACTTGTACAAAATACAAAGAAATAAAAATGTTTATATATTTTTTATATTGTAATTGAGTTTTGTAATATAGCTTATAAAATAAAAACATTGTTTAATTTCATCATTAATAAATTAATTCTCATTTTACTAGTATAACAACATTTCTAACCAAAATATAATTAAGAACATATTTTTATGTGTTTAGCTATAAAAATAAACGAAAAATATGTTCTAGTATAACAGTTCATATAGATTTTTTTATTGTAATGTTTTATTTTTGTTTTATGAATGTTAATGTTTATTTAACATGTTAATTCTTAATCCTTAATTAAAGTCCTAGAATAAAACTGTCATCTTGATTTTAAATTTTGTTTCTAAATTATCCTCCACAAGGCTGATAATTTTCTTTAAAATGTATTAGAAATTGTACAAGCAAACTGATAAATTTGAAAAATTAATCATCATACATAGAAATGATGCTTTGTTTAAAATTTAGGTAAACTAAACATTTTAATTTCACTTAATTTTATATGTTATACAATTTCAATTGCTATTAATTATTTCAATTCAATCATTTATAAAACAAATATTTTCATTGTAAATAATGCTGATTATAATAATCAGATATGTATAATACATTTAAATAAATTAATAAGATAAGATTTATTTAAATGTATTTCATATATGCCATTAGTCTTGAATGGTAGTTCTAATGTAATCTCAGAAATTTCTTTTATCTAAATATGTGTATTAATAATTAAGTATATAATAATATAACAAAAAAAACATTTCAAACTAAAATTTTTACTCTTAACAATTCTAAATAAATTACAAAAAGTTAGATTAAGAAAAATAAATTTATATTCTAATTATTTAAATCTGAATTGATTCAAAAAATAAAATAAATTTCATTTCTATGAAATGTTTAAAACAGAAATTTTTTCTTCTTTAGCAGATTGAATGTATATTCAAAAATGTGTAAAAATTAAAATATTTTTAATAATCTTTAACAGATTTGTTAAAGAAACTTTTATAAAATTACTCTTCAATTACATTGCTTTTTCTCAGTATGAAACTTTTTAAAAACTTTACCTAAAAGAATATTTAAAGTTTAAACATAGATTATGGCCTTTCTGCTTTATAAGAATTACAGCTCTATTACTTCCTACTTTTAAAAGTGTATTTTTACAATACTTTTTAATACTATATTTCCTTGATTCTAAGATGCATTTGTTTTTTTTACCCATTTTAGTTATCTGAAATAGATATGCATCTCTGTTTCAGATAAAATGCCATTAACCTTTTATGATTAACAGTGTATTACATTCACAGTCGAAAACAATAAACAGTCAATGGGAATAGATCACACATTATGTTATACATTAGCAATAGACATTTCAACTGAGCTGCTCACTAATAAACAAGAGAAGAAATTGCTGCATTTTTCTAAGGGTTGGCTGAAAATAATCCTCCAGAATAAGTAAAGACTCACTATTAAATCTGTGGTATATGACTACAACTAACCCTGATGGTAATAATTTGATAAAAAAAGATATAAAAATGAAATGAAACAATTACTAGATTCATCCTCTAGCAATAACTTTATGAAAGGTTATACTGCTCAACATCACATTAGTTCAAATAAGCTTTCTGGTTATTGTGAATGTAGAAGAGCCTGGAAATAAAGTTAGTAATTTGCTAATTAACAAAATTTAATTATATTGATTAATTCAATTTTGAAATCACGGTGCAATGTAGAATATTAATTTCAAAACTTAAAATTTTATGTAGGAGTCAATTGTTATGTGGGAATAGTAATCTCTTGCCTAACGGTATTACTTATACCAATGTAATAAATAAATAATCTAAATTTTTTAAACTGCATATTTTAAACCCCTGCTTACAAGTTGTGTAAAAATCTACCAACTCCACTCCGACTTTTCCTTACCATCCGACTCCAACTCCGACTTTTCCTTATCATCCGACTCCAACTCAGACTTTTCCTTACCATCTGACTCCAACTCAGACTTTTCCTTACCATCTGACTCCAACTCTGACTTTTCCTTACCATCTGACTCCAATCAGGAGCAGACTTGTTACCAAAAGAGACCCAGAAATTCTGATGCCATCATGTGACCTCAGAATAAAAGATTCAATAAATAGAGTTCTAATAAAGATAGGATGTAGAAACTTTTTATTCTAAAGATAAAAGACTTCTCTACATAATGACACAGTCAATATATAAATATGTATTCAATAATTTTTACTTTTCCGGCTGTTATATATAACAGAGGGAAAGTGTAGCGCTAGGTCAAAAAATGATTCTTCCCAAATTTTTACATTTTTGGACTCAGGACACCTTGAAATTTCAAGATATGCAAAAGATTTGAGGTTTTTTCTATACGTGTGGATGTTAGACTGTGTATGTGGGGCATGATTTTGTTCACCCTGTTTGAAGCCTAATAATTTCTGTGGTCAGAGTGGTCAGAATCAGAGTCAATGGTTTAACACAGGAGTTAGTTATTAAGCGTCAAAGTGGTTGAACTAAATCATGTCCCCATATACATTCTAACATCTTAGGTGAGAACATCTTAATGGATTTTACTGTACTATAATAAAATGACAAAAAAGCTTACTTTGAGGGTAGAGACGTGTTTTATTTTATATTTTTCTAATTTTGAATGCTAATAACGAGTAAAATATTCATTAAGAGATGACACATGACCACTTTTATGACTTCACCCTGTTGACCTTTAATTAAGAACCAAAATTTAATAGTATTAATGCCCCTTTATATGCAAGCCAAGTACCAGATTTCATTTCTTAAACTTTACCCATTCTGAGATATTGTTTAATATCTCAGAACAGAAAATAAAGAAATTAAACAAATTAGATGCCAACACAAGCGTGCAAATTTTTCCCCTTTTATTGACTTTTTTGAGGGGTTCGGGAGGTCTCCAAACATGTAGATTTGCAAAAAAAAAAAAAAAAAAAAAAAANAAAAAAAAAAAAAAAAAAAAAAAAAAAAAAAAAAAAAAAAAAAAAAAAAAAAAAAAAAAAAAAAAAAAAAAAAAAAAAAAAAAAAAAAAAAAAAAAAAAAAAAAAAAAAAAAAAAAAAAAAAAAAAAAAAAAAAAAAAAAAAAAAAAAAAAAAAAAAAAAAAAAAAAAAAAAAAAAACTTGGAGGGTCAAATTTGACACGATTCCAATCCTTTTCCATTTTATGTACATAACAAGTTTGGAAGTAAAAAGGAGCTGGAGTCTGCGGATTTTCTGACAACTCTGACTCCAACTCCACGGCCCTGTTAAAATCTCATATTAACACTATGAAAGATAATTCTTTAATATAAAAAAATAAATATAAAAAACATTGTTTATTTCAAACAGTGTATTTTATTTATTGAATATAATTATTCTTATATGTTTTCAGTGCTAGCTCAATGGTAACTTGCACCTGAGGCAAAACTGATTTTTACAGCCTGATTCCAGAATGATTGCCAATAGAGAGCATTTCTAGCACTGGCACTCATACATAAACTATTTATAAACAAGTTTAATGTACATTTACTCTATTTAGCTTATAATTTTAGTTTTTATTTATTTTCCACTCCTTTTGAACATTTTGACTGCTCATTTTGCCACTCAAGGCAGTCACCCCATCAAGCTGACCGTCTGTTTTATTAAAGCTCTAATAAAGCAATATTTTATATTTATTTGGTGCTCAAAATATTATGTATTTTGTTTGCTTGTATGTAATCTATAGAAAACAAAATGACTAAACACCAACTCAAGCATCAGAAGATGCCATACCACGATAACTTTCCCGATATTTATATTTTTCATATTAATAAAATATTTGCATTTTTAATAAAATGGTAATAATGTTAACTTTAGCTTAATTTTCTAATATTAAGCAGAAAGCAATCAGATATCATAATTTAATGCTACATTAGAACCGTCATGTTTATAATTAGCTATTATATATCTATTTATGGTCTAGTCACACATATTGGATTCATTCTGTTCTCAGCTTGGTATCTAAATATATAAACAATACAAATTTATATAAATTGAATACTGTATATACAATTAATTCAAATGCATTATATTACTTTCATTACTGTTTCTTATTAATTCAACTGCAAAAGTTTTGTTTTGAATTAATAAATAATACAAATTCATAAATATTTTATTCATTAATTAATTAAGTTACAATTAACACCTAAATAAATAAATATATTTCGTTTTAAAATAAAAGAGTTTAAATATAGAAGGGGAATGGAATTTTGTGTAGCTTTAGTTAATGTCTGATAAGATTTTAATGTTATTCAATGAATAATTATCTACTTTGACTGAAATTTAACTTTGAAATCCGATCGATTGATTTCTTTTTAATATTTTTGGACTATTTTATTAAATAAATGGATAATTACATAGTTAGCACTTGTTAAGTGTGTTTTAAGATTAATTTGATGTAAAATTTACTCACCATAATAAAAAATTTAAACGATCAATCAGAATTACAACATATTTAAATACAGTATCGCCGGTTGTCATATAAACAAGCTTGGTAACCAGAAACATAATAAGCGCCCTCTAATGGAAAATTTAAACTGCTTGCAATAATCGTCTGCTACATTTTGTTTTTTTTAAAGATCTTGTAATGTATCAAAATTTCGATATTATTACTTATAATTTTCCGAGTTATGTTTATATGTATAAAGATAACCGAGTATAAAAAATGTGTATAGTTCAATGACTATAATAGTCAGCTACAGTATAAGATAAAACGGCCGGATGGTCGAGAAATCAAGATGGCAGCCTACCGCTCTGGGTATCCACCCGGGTTCGAATCCCGACGGATCGATAAATCCCCAGGAATTTTTCGGGGAGTAATCCGTCCGGATATGTCGGGCCCCGTCCCTCACTACCCGGCCGCCCCATTGTTGGCTTGGCCGAACCCATAATGGGCCTGCTATAAGAGGCCCTCTTAGTGCCCACAGGGAGGAAAGAGTATATTAAAGAAAATGTCTATGCTAAAAAGAGGCCTTCTTAGTGCCCACAGGGTAGAGAGAGTTAAATAAAAAAATAAAAAAGCTATAAGATGAATGTAGATGACGATTCGACTGGCAAAGTTTCATTTCAAAATTTTTAATTGCAGCCGCGTTTCTTTGGCTGTGTTCAGCAGACTCAACAGTTTCCGAGATGTTGAGTATTTTTCTGCTGAACGCCATCTACAGTAGCGCTGTTTCGGAACATGTTTGGTATTTTGACGTCACATTTAGTAGCGTCTTTCATTTACGCTACCTATTGCTACCTGAAACTGATCAATGATGACTGCTTTTTGTTCCAACGCATACGTCACTCACCGTTCAGCAGATGTAACTACGTAACAGCTACCGATTAAGACACCTATACTGTACTCAGTTACAACTGTCGACTCTGCTGAACGCAGCCATAGTTTACGGGTTGTTGTTAAATTCAACGCTACTCCGCAACGCAACCTCTGTCTGAGAGACTGCCACGATCGCTACTGATGGTCTTTCAACAACTCACGGGGCAGCGCTGCAGTTTCAAAATGGTGGCTCTCAGTGAAACTGTTGGAATGTTTGGTGAATTATTTAATTCGAAAAATTTTTAAGTAATTCATTTTTGCTATACAATGTCTTGTTTACGAAGCGTAAACATGACGACAAAGTAATTGATGGAATGGTAAGTTCTGTTGTGCTGCAGCCGCGGAAAAAGGCTAGAGTACAAAACTATTACGAGGAAATTATCCCTCGACACAGAGATCTGGATTTTAAAGGTCACTTCAGACCAGTGGTGATATTCAGCGGGTTCGCACAGGTTCGGCCGAACCTGTTGTTAACATTTTCAAAGTTTTCCGAACCCGTTGTTAAACACACGTAACATTTCTAAGCGGTTTTGTTTCTTTTAAAAAATATATTAAAATATACGTATTATACTCTGTAACACTACTAAACTAGAGCCTGATACCCCGTTCGCCATGTTCCACTTATCGCCGTTCGCATATAACCTCCATCGATCGTTTCAATCTCGACTGAAACGAGATTTAATCGCGATCGACTCAAGAGAGTTCTTGAAACTAGATCCAGTCATACGAAGGATCCCACAATCCCACGCGCGCTAGAAAATACAAGATGGCTGCGGAACAGGTGTCCGGCTATCGACAGCGAAATAAAAAAGATATTGTATTTCGAGAAACAATGACATATGTCTCTTATTATAATAATACCTAATGATAAAATAAACGATTTAAAAAGTTTTTTCTTGAGAAAAAGTCATAGGGAAAGCAATTAACTCCTTGGGACTCTAGCAATTTTTGATATTAATGTAATTAAACATAAAAAATACTTAAAACTGAAAAAACGAAAGAAATGCGTTAATTTTGAAGAAAAAGCTTCAGATTTTATTTTCCTTTGTCTCGTCTTTCTGTGAAATCTTACGCTGATGAGTCATTGTTTAAACAGCTGGATGACCTTGAACACAGCTGGAGTCCGATTTTCCGGGACATTCTCATAGAAGTCTCGGGAGGCGATAGGTTTATAGTAGGGTGAATACTAGTTGGCCGTATATTTTCATATATTTTTAAAAAATTAAAATTTTTATTGCGATTTCCGACCCCCCCGACTTAATTAAACTTATATATAATAAAATCTATTAATTAAAAAAATTTAGAAACTATCGGAGGTCGTTTTTGACATCAGAAACTAGCTTTAAATAACTTTACCGAAGTAAAATCCGTGCGCTACAACTTTAGAACGATGAATGAAATTTGATATCAAACTCCCATTAAAAAACAATTAAAAAGCAATTAAGTGTGAATCGTGCGTCATTAAAGGTAAATTAAAATCGCGATAAAATTTTTTCGCGCGGGAAAAAATTTTTGAAAAAATTTGGAGTCTTAAAAAACATTCCATTAAGGCAAAAAAAAACAAAACTTTTAAAGGACCAAACGCCCGAGTTTTATGTAACGCTATGTAACGTGCCCGAGATATCTCGGGCTTGGGGTTAGGTTAAGGAAAAAGTTTCTGTTAGCGAACCCTTTGTTAAATATTTCGAATATCACCACTGCTTCAGACTGCAACGTGAAAGTGCTGAATACCTTTGCCAGATTCTGTATTTAAATGAAACCAAAACAATTGGACGGTCATCCGTTATAGAGATGAAAAAAGAAAAGATCGTCCTACTGTCCTAGCATATTTTAGGAGATCAGGAATCCTACAGTGGCGTAAGTGATCGTTTTGAACTAGATAAAGGACATGTTTACAGGCTGTTCATAGTGTTTTGTAAAGGCGTTTGTAATTTGAAAGAAATTTTCATTAAATGACCAGTTGATAAGGATGTCCAAGAAGTAGTAAAAAACTTTCCATCATTAATGTTGCCCGTTTTTCGCTCCATTGGTACCTTTCCATGTAATTTATTTATTAAAATTTATTTTGGAGTGTTACATTTTTTGCTAGCCTTATTAGCACTCATTTTATTTTCACATACTGCTTCTATATATGCATATAAATCTTCACTAAATTGAAAATATCCGTAGGCTTTTTTCTTTTTATTTATTTCATCTGTCATTTTAAATTTATCTGAATAAAAATAAATTCAGATGTCTTTAATTATTCATCTCAAACCATTTTAATTTGTAGCAATGAATGACCACATAACTTTAAACTATGGTCATTTACTGGTACAAGTAGTTTTATTGATCATTCACTCATACATTAGTATGAAACAATATTCACAGATTTTGAATTTTGTGCTCAGAAATGAAAATAACCCATATTACTTTATCACCATTAAATGGCCGAAGTGTTCCTTCACTGGAGATGAATCACTTTTCCAATCCAATAAGTGACAACCCTATCTACACACCTTTAAAGGTTAGAAATAATTTTTGTACCTTAACCATACTTTAAATATCTACAATACTATTTCTTTACTCAATGCTTTGGAAAATCAATAAGTAATTATTTTAAAATGCTGCTATATGAATCCTTGCCACAATTCTTACCTTATTACAATGCAAGCAATATTACACCTTGCACACACATCTCAAGTAAGCGGTAAGATTTACCCTCCGAATGAGGGGGCGCCACCCCCAAAGCGTAGCCCTCCCCCGTACGAACAATAAATGTGTAATAAACCACCCCCCTACGCGTGACCCTTCGCGAGATATAAGCCCCTGAAGATTCGCCTACGTCATATCTGGTCACGTGACATCGTGGTCAAAAGGCAGTGTACCACGCGAAAAAAAAAATTTTAACGCGCACACCTTCCTTAGGTCTCTCTCTCCTGGCGCTTCGCCGTCTGTCCCTTCTGCGCCGGCTCACGGTCCACATCGCCCGCCTGAAGTCATCCGTAGTCGCCATCCATTGCTTGTAAATACATTATTATTTATTAGTTTTACCTTGGACGGGCCTCGTACCCGGGTCTATGTTGACTGTAGTTCGAGCCTTTCTCCACTAGTCCAGCACGTCCTCTTACTAGAAACATTTTGGAACTCATATTTGAGACGAAGGAACCCAAGGACAGCACTGCGCATGACAGCCAAATCACGTGGTCGTTCCTCAGCCATAGAGATGCAGCGCACTCCGAGGGCCAATGGGACGCGGGTCACGTGACACTCGGACCCGTCTCCCCAGGCTCCGCGGCCAAATGGGGTGCCGGCTGCGGGTCACATGCCACTCGTAACAGTTTCCCGCGGTTATATAAGCCATAGTCGCCTTCATATCCCTCGAACCCAGTATATGTTAATATGTAGGGAAGTCATGCCTTATTAATGCGATATTTCGGCGTCTACCGTTATGGATTCCGCCACAATATTCGATAATATAACATGATATAACTTTCTTTGCTACCTCCCCACCGAAGAGCCGCACAGAAATTTTGCCTTCTCGTGGGGATCGTTTCACATCCGGACCTAAACGGTTTCTTTCCGCCATGTCCTAAGTGCGGAGGTAAGCCTTTCCTCGATTCCCGCGTTTACACGAGTGCTATCTGCAGCTATCTGGGTTAATGTTACTAATGGTTCGAAAATGGTTAGGTTCGTTTCGTTTCCGTTACATTAGCTACATTTTTAACCGTCTGGACCACAAACAGGAAATCAACGGTGGAGGCATGATTTGCTCTGTTTCTCATAACAGTTTGTTTACTTCCTGTCTGTCTACTCATTTTCTTTTTCTGCTGGACTTTTTCTCAGCGGTAGACGAATCCGAACCTGTCAGATGGAGACGGTTCCTTCCACACAATGCCTACAAATTAAAAATTTTAATTTTAATGAGCAATTAAATTTTATTGTAATAACTTACTGTATATAAATAATAATGTTTCTAATCTATACTAATATTATAAAGAGGTAATGTATGTATGTATGTAAGTTTGTTTGCAGCAGGTAATCTCCGAAACTACTCATCCGATTTCAAAAATTCTTTCACCAATATTTAGAATGGAACTTCAGAATGGACATAGGCTGTATATTATTTCGTTAAACATTCATATAAATTAAAATATATAATCTAGGTTAAGGCTTTTATGTCCAACAGATGGCGCTACGAGTACGACGCCCTAAGTTTGCTTTTCT